GCAGGATATCGAAAAGACTGCGTTCAGAACAAGATATGGACACTATGAATTTTTGGTTATGTCGTTCGGACTAACCAATGCCCCAGCAGCTTTCATAAATTTGATGAACAGGGTTTGTAAACCATACCATGATAAATCCGTGATAGTATTCATAGACGATATCTTGATTTATTCAAAAAGCAAGCAGGAGCATGAAAAGCAACTACGTGAGGTGCTAGAAGTTCTGAAAAAAGGAGAAGCTGTATGCAAAGTTCTCCAAATGTGAATTTTGGATTCAAGAAGTCCAATTTTTAGGTCATGTGGTTAACCAAGAAGGAATAATGGTTGACCCAGCAAAGATTGAAGCTATGATGAAGTGGGAACAACCAAAAAGTCCTACGGAGATTCGAAGCTTTTTAGGATTAGCCGGATATTATCACCGATTTATCCAAGGCTTTTCTTCGATTGCTACTCCATTAACAGCTTTGACCCACAAAGGAGCTACTTATGCTTGGAATGAGAAGCATAAGGAAGCCTTTCAAAAGTTAAAGAAAAGATTGTGTGAAGCACCGATTCTTTCGTTACCTGAAGGAGTTGATGACTTCGCAGTTTATAGTGATGCCTCTGGAGTTGGGTTAGGTTGTGTTCTGATCCAAAGGGATAAAGTGACCGCGTATGCATCGAGGCAATTGGAAGAGAATGAAAAGAACTACCCCACTCATGATCTGGAGTTGGCAGCAGTAAGATTCGCCTTAAAGATATGGAGGCACTATCTTTACGGTACTAAATGCAAACTTTTCACTGATCATAAGAGTCTTCAATATCTCTTTAATTAGAAGGAATTGAACATGAGGCAACGGCGCTGGCTAGAGTTACTCAAGGATTACGACTGTGAGATACTTTACCACCCTGGTAAAGCAAATGTTGTTGCTGATGCTCTCAGTCGGAAGGTGAATCTTGAAAAGAGAAGGCCAAGAGCGTTAAGAATTGAAGTTGTCTCGACAATTGTGGAAAGTATAAAGAAAGCTCAGGAGGAAGCTTTAGAGAAAAATGACCGGAAGGAGGAACGTTTGGGTAAAATGTTGGTGTTTAATATAAACGGTCAAGGGCTGAAGGTATTCAAAGATAGGATTTGGGTACCTAAGACGGGAGGAGTAAGATATCTTCTAATGGAAGATGTTCACAAAACCATGTACTCGATTCATCTCGGCAGTACGAAAATGTATAGGGATCTAAAACCCTATTACTGGTGGCCGACAATGAAACTCGATGTTGCTAAGTATGTGGCCGAGTGTCTAACTTGTGCTAGGGTTAAGGCACAACATCAGAAACCGTATGGGAGTTTAGAACCTTTACCTGTACCCATGGGTAAATGGGAAGACATCACCATGGATTTTGTGACTAAACTGCTCAGAACAAGGAACGGTCACGACATGATTTGGGTGGTCATTGATCGCTTCACTAAGAGTGCGCATTTCATAGCCGCTAACGAGAAATGGTCTATGGATAAACTTGCGAATTCTTACGTGAAGGAAATTGTGAGGCTTCACGGTGTTCCGTTAACGATTGTATCCGATCGTGACAGCCGTTTTACCTCAAGGTTTTGGAGAAGTCTACAAGAGGAATTGGGTACCAAGTTGTGTTTGAGTACAGCTTACCATCCGCAAACTGATGGTTAGAGCGAACGAACAATTCAAACATTGGAGGATATGCTGAGAGCATGTACCCTAGAATTCCAAGGTAACTGGGATGAACACTTACCTCTAGTAGAATTTTCCTATAATAATAGTTTCCACTCAAGCATCAAGATGGCACCTTATCACACTTTGTATGGGGAAAAGTATCGAACGCCGTCATGTTGGCTGGAAGCTGGGGAAAAGCAGTTTGTGGGACCTGAAATAGTCCATCAGACTGCTGAAAAGTTGAAAGTGATTAGGGAAAGGATGTTAGCAGCTCAAGATCGACAAAAGAGTTATGCTGACAAGAAAAGACAACCGATATCCTTCGAAGTTGGAGACACTACTAGAAAACAGCCCTTTAATGACGTGCAAACAATGACACGCGCTGATAGAGGACGCACATTTGTGCGTGCCCTAAAAAATAATGTCAGTTTCGCAAAATTTGAACGATAGAGGACACGCATTTGTACGTGCCCTAAATTTAGTGTCCAATAAAAAAAATTACAAACACGGAAGGCGCTTTTATTTAAAGTGTGTGTCGTCTACAGATGTCGCTTTATAATTTTTACTCAAACGCGCGTTTCTGATTACACTATTAATTTCTAGGGTTTTTTGAAGAACATCCGAACACTCACTCACACGTTACGTGCTCTCTATAATCGATTCGCCGCCGACAACCTCAAGCTCACTTCTTCTCCTTCTCCGGCGATCTTAAGTAAATAGAGAACATTTCAGAGCTTATCATCAGAATAGGAAAGTAGGGAGAAGGAGGAGAACAGAAAGTACAAAATCCACTCTCTTCTCGCCCCTCTTGTCTCTCTATTTTGTTCTCTTATATCTCCTTTCAATCCATGTCTCTGTCTCCGCGTTCCTCATCCACATCCACCGCCTCCAACCCTCACTGCCAGAGCCGACAAAGAAGATGAAGAAATGCATTTCCTAACTTCTATCCATTTGGGTGTGAGTTGAGAAAGGCATAAACTAGGGCAAATGAAACGCACTGGGTTCTAATGAGATGCAGGGATACATTGAGAAGGTAGTCACATTGGGGTATTACTACCGTGAACTAGATCGATTTGCCACAACATCCCAAAATTCTCATGTGAGAGAATCGATGAACTAGGGTTTCTCGTTCACAAAATCTCACCTCACGCTCTTATAGTTCTCTGTTTTTTGTGACTCGTTTCAAGGTGGCTCTTTTGCTAGTAATGATGACGTCTTTCAGTTGATGCGTATTAATGCTTATTTGAAGAGTAGAAGTGTACACTTCTACTCTTCAATTTCATCATCAATTACTATTCTATTTCTACACTTCTACTCTTCAATTTCATGTTTTTTTGTTAGTTGTAACTGATTCTTGCTTTAGAAATTTTGAAGTACTCTCAAGGTTTGTCTAATTTGACTTTTTTACATCTTGTATACAGAGATTTGTGAAAGTTTATCTATCCAGTAATCGGAAAGAAAAGAAATAGATGAGGTCGGAGTCAACTTCTCACCAATAGTCTCATCTTTCACTGTGTTCCTGATGTTGTACGCATAATTCTCCAAAGCATTCTTCGCCTCCAAATTCTTCCTGTGCTCCTCTTCTTCAGACTCATACTTATCAGCTTCCTGAACCATCTTCTCAATATCCTCCTTTGAAAGTATCCCCTAGCGACAATCTCTCACAAATCTTCACCTTGAAATTTTGTTTAATCAGTTTCAAAATCACATGATTTGGGTTCTAACAGGTAGGGTTATCAAACTCTAACAAATCCAATATCACGTGAGAACTTTGAAAAATATGGTCATCCTGATGGCAGACAGGTACCTTATCTTCCTTGTTTCCCGTTCTTAAAATACCAAATTACCCTTGTAATTTAAATGTTGGATTTGGATTAGGTTTCTTGGAAAATTGGTATTTATTGGTTCCTATGTTATTTAAATCCTTACTGTTTTCCTTGTTGAAGCACAAATTACTTACTTGATACTATATATTTGGAATATACTTGGTTGGTTTTTTGATGCTTTTGTGGTTTGCACTGTGACAGGTACGCATTGCTGAGTATAACAATGTTCGCAGTCAACTCAATGTAATTAATAGAAAGCAGCCTGGAAGGTAAAAATCTATTGATTACCCACCTAACTCGTTGGACTAGTGCATCTATAGGAATCAGCTAAGCTTAATGAATAGAAAAATACACAAGAAATTTAAGAAATTGTTGTTTTATTACATAAGAAATGGTACATTGATGTCACATCTATTTTGAACCAATATCAAATAAATTGACATCTTTAATTAGTTACAGACTGGTCTTTAAAAGTTATTCTATAAACCTAAACAAAATACCAACTATATATGCTTTCATATTTACATCAAATCAAGATCAGTGTGTGTGTTGTGTACACTTCTTTGCTTACACAAAAAGTTTTCTTATACCAAAAAATCAGATAACAATTGGGGTTATTCACCAAACCTAGATTGGTCTGCCATATCTGTATGCCTATGTGTTGGAGACCTGTTGACTTCTATCTCACTGAAAAAGTCAGGATTTTGACTTAAATCTTGACCCAGTTCCACTTCTTTCTCTTTATCTTCCTGCATATAGTAATAATTAAGTGCATGCACTATTTACGTACAGACGGAGTTAATTCATAAGCGGCCACCAAAACGTTGTGAAAGCATATATGCAAAGTGTTTCAGTTTGGACTCTTTTTGTATTTGTGTTTGGGGCGGATAGACTTTCCGGGTTAAAAGAGTAAATGTACAACTAACTAAGGGTAAATTAGTAATTTACTGTGAATATTGGTTAATTTACTGTGAATATTGGTTAATTTACTGTGAATATTGGTTATATAGGTGCCTAGTACTTAACCTTTCTATATATATCATTTTGCTAGTCAAAAGTCACATACATTATTGTTACTGTTTCTTTATTCTTGTGCAGAGTCTGAAACAGGGAACATTTTGTCAGAGATAATCAAGTCTAAGTTCAATCATTCTGTAACAAACGAGATTCAAGTTGATCAGAGTGACACCAATGTCGTAAATATGCTCGTTGCATTGAATGAGGCAAATAGCAATGAAGGAACCAAAACACCCCACACAGAGCCTTTATATACTCAAGAAACACCAACTACTCCTGCAGTGAATCCACCTGTAGACATAACTCAAACACATGGTAGCTAAAGTGCATTCACTTAAAAAAAATTGTAGCTAATATGTTCCTAGGAACAGTAGCGACAACATGGTAAATGTTAATCTATATAATAGAGTGTTTTATATAATAGAGTGTTTTCATCTTTTACATTAATGACTATAATAGAGTGTTTTCATCTAGAGCTATGAATGAAATGAATGGTCAATTTTGTTCAAGTCGACCTATGAGAATTGGTGTTGCAACTCCTAAGAAGGCGTCTACTTTACAACAATATGGACAACAATAACAACAATATTCATCACAAGGTGTGTTTTCTTGATTCTTGCTTGTGTTTTGTTTGATTTTCTTGATTTAGCTGTGATATTGGCTGGTGGAGGTGGATTTGGTGCCATGCCTCAAAGCTCTCAGTCTGATGAAGATTCTTCCAATACAACAGCTCATCTACATCTGATCTTCAATTGAGTCCTGCTCCTGTTCCTGCTACTCAAAAAAGCTCATCTACATCTGATCTCTTATCCTTGACTCAACTAAATAATAAACCCTCACCCTCACCTTTTAGTGCTTTCGATACTCTTGTATCACCTATACCTACACCTGGCGCCTCCCCCATGATGGATCTATTAGACGGATTCAATCCAAATCCTATTACACCACCACCTCCACCTCCACCTAGTAAGTATTATATCTTTTTTTTCTATCCACATATACATATATCTGTTAATTCATTATTCTTTATGAAGATTTGAACTTGATAGTAGATGATAATAATGGAAATCTGGAAGAATAATATGCAAGTTATACAAAAATTTCAAAAGGGTATTTTGGGTATTTGGTAGTAGATATTAATCCACAAGAAAAATCTTTACTGCATGATTGGGTGAAACTCATTGTCGTTCTTAAGTTTTTATTTTCTTTTTTCATTAACAATGAAATAAGGGCTAAATGCAAGAAAGAGCAATATATTTGTTTATTCATTACATAGGGAGGGATCTTATAACATTGTAACATAATAACATTGTAAAATGGAAACACTGCAGGAGAAATTGAAGCCGTTGGAGAGGTTTTTCCTGCACAAGTCACCAAACATAATGGGCTCAATTTTTCTCTGTCACAGTATCAAACTAGACAAGAAAAATAATTAGTTTGGTTCATATTTTTACTCGAATTCGAATGTGTCTATTTCATGTGTTTTTATTCAAAATTTGAGTTGTTGTGATTTTTGCATTTTTGTTTCAGATGTATGAATATATGATCACATCTTGAAGCAACCAACAAAATTGACGATCTCACTGTAGCTTAGGTTGAATTTGCAATAAAAATGTCTTCAGCTCAAGATCCATTTTACATTGTAAAAGACGAGATTCAAGATTCTGTAAGTTGGCTTCTCCATTGAAGTGAAGTTTTATTGTTGCTTCTCCTGGAGCTCTTAATAAATAGGCTTTGTTTTTTGGGGCCGCATAGAGAAAACATTACTGTCCTTTACATCAAGACACAGTAAAGACCCTGGCCTCTATTATCACACCAACTTTATGCCCATCAGCACTTTCATCAAAATTCAGGGTTACTGTTCTTTTGTTTGGTTTACCTGGGTGTGGGAAGAGGACTGTTGTGAAGCATGTTGCTTCTCAACTTGGGCTGCATGTGGTTGAGTATAGTTGTCATGATTTACTTGCATCTTCAGAGAGGAAGGCTTCTTCCATGTTGGCTCAAGCTTTCAGTGCAGCTCGTAGGCATTTACAACCATTATGATGTGAAATGATCTACTTTCTTGTTATGTGTTTCATAGTAATAATTAATTCCTGATAATATGTGTATGACTGTGTTTGTGTTATTGCAGATATGCACCAACTATTCTTCTGCTGCGCCATTTTGATGCTTTCAGCAATTTGAGCTCTAATGACGGTTCACAAAATGATCAAGTTGGTATGAATTCTGAAGTTGCATCTGTCATTAGGGAATTCACGGAGCCATTTAGACAAGATGATGATTATGAAGATGAAGAAGAAGAAGAAGAAGCAGAGGTTGATGTTTTGAGATGATGATTTCTGCCATAAAAATATGTCAATTATCCATTGGTTGCTCACTGTTTTACTCTCATTATGCAGCATATGAACACGATTAATACCCATCCTGTGCTGCTAGTTGCAGCTGCTGATAACTCTGAAGGGTTGCCACCTACAATTAGGCGTTGTTTCAGCCATGAAATGAAAATGGGAGGTTTGACCGAAGACCAGAGAGTGGAAATGCTATCCCAGTCACTTCACCTTATCCCTGAATTGGTTCCAGATGTAAGTAAGAATAAGAATAAGAATATTTTACTGTATACATATATTTATCTTAAAATCTAATGAATGATGTATGCTCCTTGCAGACTTGTACAGAGGATGTTGTAAAAGATATGGTTGGACAGACATCCGGTTTCATGCCAAGGGATATTAGGGCTTTAGTTGCTGATGCTAGTTCAAGTTTGATTCCTCTTAGTATTAATGGCAGTATCTTTGAGAAGTTGGGTGACAACAAAGAATTCATGGTCAAAGCTTTGGAGCGGTCAAAGAAAAGGAATGCATCGGCTTTGGGGACTCCCAAGGTGTGTAAAATAAAAAATGGTTGGTGGCATGGCATCTATTCTACAGGGTACTAAGTTTGAGTTGTTTGTGTGTAGGTCCCTAATGTTAAGTGGGAGGATGTTGGTGGGCTAGAAGATGTGAAAAATGTTAGGAATCGGACCGGGTACACGCAGCGGAAACACACTATTACACACTCACAAACGAAACGAGAAAATAAAGCAAGAAGAACACAAGAATATTACGTGGTTCGGATTCGGTGTAAATCCTACGTCCACGGGCTGCAACTAGATTTTCTTATTAACTCAATAAGATTACAATTTATAACTCTACAAGTTATATTTGATGCACACATTCTCTGCTACACAACACACACATATATATATATATATATATATATATATATATATATATATATATATATATATATATATATATATATATATATAGGAGATGTGCCGTAAACTTTTCTTGATTCACACAAATTTGCCGTCCATATTGACAAAAATTGCCGCAATTGAGAAAAAAAGGAGCCATCATTTAATAATTTAATATTTCTTGCCGTCCATTGTTTGACCATGCAAAAGATGCGTCCAAATAATAAACAATTGATTTGCCGACATGTACGTCCATTCAATATTAAACAATTGAATTGTTTAATATTTGTCAAGTTACATTTATGGCCCTTGAATTCTTAGGAACTTGTCAATTTGTTCAAGACTCCATAAATCTTAACAAAAAAATCTATTCTTGATACAGTTCAGGTACATAGGAATGGCATCTTGAATTCGAGTTGGTTGTTGTAAGCTTTGGCATAAGTTGTGACATATTGGTAATGCATTTACAGCTCCCCGTTCTGCATAAAGATTTGTTTTCATTTGGGCTACGTAAGCGCTCTGGTGTTCTTCTCTACGGTCCTCCTAGTACAGGGAAAGTATGTTAATGTTTTATCATCTTATAATCATTTATTTTGTGATTGATAGCCTCCAGGGCAGCTTTCATGAATGGGAACGCGTCCCTGTTGGCAGCGGGGAACAATCCCGGCTGACAAAAGGAACTCCTTTCCAATGGCGAGAGCATTGAATGGCAGGTATGTATCTGAAATACAGACAAGTTAAGCAAAAGATCAAATTTGTTTTGAGTTCTGAAAATGAATTTTTGTGATAGGGAAGGTGGATGAGCTGGAAAAGACTATTTCTGTAGCTGCTAGAGACCCTTCTTTGTATGGTATAAACCAAGTGGAGCTTGAAAAGCGAAGGAAGTGGACCACTACTGCTCGGATTCAGGTACTTTAATTTATTACTTTGGTAAATATGGATATGAGTCTTATTTTCTATGTGTGGTATGTAACCACTAACCAATCAGGTGGGAAATATTAAGAAAGCAGTGACTGTGACCGGAAGCAGTTCAAATTAACTTTGGTGGGAGTGGGATGCGCCAAGAATTAATGCGGATGCCAAAGTCTCATCAGCAGCAGGATAAGGACAGGACCAGAACCGGATCATATGCTGCTGTAGATAATTATGATTTTATTTCTTCAGAATCAGACACACAGATGCTTCTCATCAGGTAAGCTTTTGCTTTTATAATTTCTTTAGATATATCATTTTAAAGAGTGTCTTGTCTTGTTTACTAGCCCCAAATGAATTGTTTTTTTATACTCATATTTTATTGATAGATATACCTAAAAAAACAGGTCCAATGGGTTGATCTAGCATACATTTACCTGCTGTTTATAACCTCTTAAATTGTTTTTTGAACCAAAAAAAAACGACCAAGGATGATGATGTATTTTTATTATAGATAGATAGATAGATATTTTATTTGATCACCAAAAATAAGCTTAGTTGTTTATTTCCCATTGCAGGAGAAAATTATAGAGGATTTGGGTTCAGAAATGGAAAGTACATCTAATCGTCTTGATTTTGTTCACGTTAGTCTTCTATCATTTCATGATGTGTTTGATACTACATAATAGGTGATAGATGGGACAAGACTGGACCTCACCTAATAAATAATATTTAACAGAAGATAGATTACTTGTACTACTTTGACATCCATTGAGACCAGACAAAAAAGTTTGCAATCTTTTCTTTTGTCCAACCCAAAAATTGAGCCCGTTATGTTTGGATAACCAGAATCATATATGTCTCTCCGCTCATCCATTATACTAATACCTAAGAAGCAGAACGAAACCTTTCTTTCTCAATCTCGGGTAGGTTTTTCCTATTTTTTTTAATTGCTTACTGTCATATGCTTTACTTTTTTCATTTAACATGTGCAGTGGTTAATTTGTTTGTGTTTGATATAGTTTGATTGTCATTATATATAACAAGTGAGTTGTCATGTTTGAATCTGAAGTTTATTATTGATACGAAATAGGGATTTCATCATTCATATACCGGACTCAAAATTATTAAGAAAGTGAAAACTCCAGGACTTTTTTTTCTTAGGTTCTGTCTGTAGACTCTGAAGTGTTTGATTTGTTGCATAGGTGGAGGGTCATAATCTTTTTATCAGAACACAATGTCAATTGATTGAGAGTTTTTATAACAAGATCTTATCTTTTTGTTAAGAATATATGATGTCTGTATCGTTTGTAGAGAGTTTAGGGTAAACCTTATCACATCTCAAATTTGAACACTTTTAGCATTTGACTCTTTAATTATCATCAATCATCACAATTTTATGGTTTTAGGTTAAAGGATCTGAAATATTAATTTATGGTGGATTATACTAATACCTAAGAAGCAGAACGAAACCTTTCTTTCTCAATCTCGGGTAGGTTTTTCCTATTTTTTTTTAATTGCTTACTGTCATATGCTTTACTTTTTTCATTTAACATGTGCAGTGGTTAATTTGTTTGTGTTTGATATAGTTTGATTGTCATTATATATAACAAGTGAGTTGTCATGTTTGAATCTGAAGTTTATTATTGATACGAAATAGGGATTTCATCATTCATATACCGGACTCAAAATTATTAAGAAAGTGAAAACTCCAGGACTTTTTTTTCTTAGGTTCTGTCTGTAGACTCTGAAGTGTTTGATTTGTTGTGTAGGTGGAGGGTCATAATCTTTTTATCAGAACACAATGTCAATTGATTGAGAGTTTTTATAACAAGATCTTATCTTTTTGTTAAGAATATATGATGTCTGTATCGTTTGTAGAGAGTTTAGGGTAAACCTTATCACATCTCAAATTTGAACACTTTTAGCATCTGACTCTTTAATTATCATCAATCATCACAATTTTATGGTTTTAGGTTAAAGGATCTGAAATATTAATTTATGGTGGAGGTCCTGTTGCATATACTTCACAACATATGAGTCAAGTTATTTTATTATTGGTGCCTTTTGTATGTCAATTCAGCAACTTGTCTGCAAATTCTGAAATTTGTAGTAATTTTTCTCATGTTTATGGTAACAATGGTGGACAGCACTAAACAAATTTCATCTAGGATGTTTTTCAAATCGACTACAGGTCCTTCAACTTCAAGCTTCTTATTTGTACCGATTTGCCATGTGCAGGTTCTGATAGCTCTAGCAACCTCCTTCCATGCCCTGCAGCCTCTCAAAGTTCTTACATTCAGGTTATTATCTTAGAAAGGACATTATCAAAGGAGATTGTCAAAGAAGAATTTAGTCATGGGTTTCTTTTAATGTTGTACATGTTTTGTTTTCTATAATAAATATTATGCAATATTAGCAATGTGTTACATTTACTTACTATTGGAATGATTATTTGTATTTGACATACTAGTGCAATGAATTATCTTTATTGTTTATGGTATTTTATTTTGTATTATGAGACTTTTAATGTGTTATTTAATTTGAAAATTAGTAAATCTATCAAAAATATATAATTTTAAAAACATTTAAAAATTATGACACGCAAAAATGCGTGTCGTCTTCCTTTATGACAGGGGCTTCCTTGATACGCATTGCGTGTCATAAACACGCGCGTCGTAAGGTTACGACACGCAAATGCGTGTCGTCTTCCTTTATGACAGGGCCTTCCTTGATACGCATTGCGTGTCATAACTGCGCGTCGTAAATGCGTGTCATAAATGCGCGTCGTAAATAGACGACGCGCAAAAGCGTGTGTCTCTCGTTATGACAGGGCCTTCCTTGACACGCATTCGCGCGTCGTCTGAGCGTTTTACGACATGCATTGCGCGTCGTAAAAGGGGAAAGTTGAGCGGATTACCAGCGGACTTTGGTCCGATGGTCAAGCAAGCAACCACTTTGAAAGCCGCCATCTGGACTGCTAAGAATGTTGAGACTCAGATCAGAGATAAGGGTCTGGAGAGGGCAGAAGTTGGCGAAAAGAGAAAGTTTGAAGGAACTTCAGGTTCCAACAAGAAAAGAAAATTTTCAAAGTCTAAGAAGTTTGGAGGAAGAGGAGGAGGCGAAGTGAAATGGTGTGAAAAGTGCAAGAAAAAGCACTCTGGGAAATGTAGTGAGGAGGTGACTTGCTACAAATGTGGAAAGACTGGGCATTATGCCAATGAGTGTCCGTCCAACAAGAGGGTATGCTTTGGATGTAACGAAGAAGGGCACGTTTTGAAAGACTGTCCGAAGAAGAAGGATGCAGCAAAGCCCAATCTTCCACCAAAGCCGAAGGCGAGAGCCTTTCAGATGACACTTGAAGCTGCGAAAGAAGAAGCCGATGTTGCTTCAGTTACCTTTCTCGTAAACGAATTGCCTGCCCAAAATTTGTTTGATTCTGGAGCCAATTACTCCTTTTATTTCGCATGAATTTGGTAGACAACTAGCTTTTCCTGTTGATAGACTAGTTAATGCTTTATTAGTCGAGATTGCTAGTGGCAAGTTTGTACCTGTTAGCCATCGTATGAAAAACATCTTCATTGACTTGAATGGGAATAAGTTCGACGAGGAATTATTGCCTATCGAGTTAAATGGATTCGACATAGTTTTAGGAATGGATTGGCTTAGCGCCAATGATGCCGAAATATTGTGTAGGAAGAAGATAGTAAAAGTAAACCCGCCAGGGAAAGAGTCGTTTATGGTGTATGGAGACAAACGTAGAGTAAACTCTGGAATCATTTCCCTAATGAAAGCCAGAAAGTGTTTGGCCAAGGGATGTACATTATATCTAGCGTTCGTGATCGATGCTAAGAAGGAAAAGAAGGAGGTGCAGAATATTCCGGTGGTGTGTGACTATCCGAAAGTCTTTCCCGAAGATCTTCCCGGATTGCCCCCTGACCGACAAGTAGAATTCCGTATCGACTTGTTGCCAGGAACGACGCCGATAGCAAAAACACCATATCGATTAGCCCCAACATAGATGAAAGAACTTATGACACAACTTCAGGAGTTATTGGACAAAGGTTTTATTCGACCTAGTTCATCACCCTGGGGAGCCCCGGTGTTATTTGTAAAGAAAAAGGACGGGAGCATGAGAATGTGCATCGATTACAGAGAGCTGAATAAAGCAACAATAAAGAACAAGTACCCGTTGCCGAGGATCGATGACCTGTTCGACCAGTTGCAAGGTTTGAGCTATTTCTCGAAGATCGATCTTAGGTCAGGATATCATCAACTAAAAGTAAGAGAGAAGGATATCGAAAAGACTGCGTTCAGAACAAGATATGGATTTGATGGATTTGATGGATTTGATGAACATGGTTTGTAAACCATACCTTGATAAATCCGTAATAGTGTTCATAGATGATATTTTGATTTATTCAAAAAGCAAGCAGGAGCATGATAAGCATCTGCGTGAAGTGCTAGAAGTTCTGAAAAAGGAGAAGCTATATGCAAAGTTCTCCAAATGTGAATTTTGGATTCAAGAAGTCCAATTTTTAGGTCATGTGGTTAACCAAGAAGGAATAATGGTTGACCCAGTAAAGATTGAAGCTATGATGAAGTGGGAACAACCAAAAAGTCCTACGGAGATCCGAAGCTTTTTAGGATTAGCCGGATATTATCGAAGATTTATCCAAGGCTTTTCTTCGATCGCTACTCCATTAACAGCTTTGACCCACAAAGGAGCTACTTATACTTGGAATGAGAAGCATAAGGA